TTACAGAGGCTGAGTGGTGCATAGCTTGTGAGCAGTAAACTATTGGCCATAATCCTTGTGTCGTGAGCACAAAAGTGCATCACTGTTTGCGGAGTGCAAGTAGAACTCCATCACTTACTTGGTATACAATTGCCAGGGCACCTGCGATGACCTGGCATGCTGCGCTGGCGGTTCTTTCATTTGCCTCGCCGAGGAAAACCGCGAGCGAGCGGTTACCGACCGTCACGCGGAGCGAAGGCCGCGGCGGCCACAGAATCCCTTCAGCCATTACTTCAAATCCTGGGCATAAATATAAATATGTGCCGAAATGGATAATGGTGTTTCAAGACGCCAGGATCATAATTTGTCCCTCAGGTTGCAGATGCTAGGCGTAACAGCAGCACAGCACGCCATGGAACCAAAGCTAACAAAAATTGAAAGATCTAATATACGTTTAAAGGTTTATAGCGCTCAATGTTTGCAAACCACGTCTAATCGGGCTGGCTGGGCTCGCGAGACTTACCTTTTCCCGACACGGCCACGGCTGGCCCCATGCAAAGTAGCAAAGCAAGAGGCACTAGCATCCACATCTCCATCCCTGATTATTAATATAGGTGTCGTCTGTGGGCTAGGCGCATCTACTGGATGTGTCAAAGTAACCCTAGCGGCAGCAAGCAAGCAACTCCAGGACCAGAATCGACTAGGCACCGCGTGTAAGCGAGCTTGACATCGTTGCCGAAGTGCCGAAATGCCACCTAGGTGCTAGCGTTAGTAGCGTCTGCTGCGTGCAGCACTGCATCGAACGCCGCCAATCTATATATTTGTTTTCAGCTCGCGGAGCTGAACTCAATTGTGCTCCTGCGGCGGTTACAAATGGTGCAGAATTTTTGTCATAACGCCAGGTTCTGTCACCTGCATAGCCGATTCTCCGGCCGATACCCCAAACTACCCGCGGGCAGGAGCCTCTGCCGACCTGCGTAATATTAATCCAGCAAAGTCGCGCCAAGGACTGAGTGATTATAACATGCGCTGCTTTCCAGAACATTTGCGCGAGGCTTCCAAGGGTGAGACGCTGATTCAACTGAACGGTTTAAAGTTGCCTGTGTTTGCAACACAATGTGTCTGTAATTAGCTTCTGAGTATATTTCCACAAGAGCTTTGCATTAACATACGATGAAGTTTTGGTTCACCCTGTTTGTGCTAACATTGTTAGCGGACTGCTTGTCG